TAAGAAAAACTGTATGTCAAAGACATGAAGCGGAGAGGCAGGGATGAGATGACCGGTCGAAAACAGCAGGGGCTGAACAGGTACCAACCCAAGTCTGATGAGGGTTCCAGTTCAGGGTGCCTTTACACTCCACACCATAGCCTAGTACAGATGACAGCACCGACTCCCACCATACCTTTATCCCTCTTCCTTTAAATGGCTTTTTGAAGACCCCTAGTTAATATTGTTTGAGGTGATTTAGAGACCATAAAGGTCCAACTCTTAAGGCAAGAAAGGTTATTTTTTTGTTTTTTTAAAACCTAGGGGGTAACCCTAATAATAACAGCCAATTATCAGAAAGAAGAGGGATAAAGGAGGGACCCTCAACTGTGTCCAAGACCCACACTGCAAAAAAATAACTATCAACACTGAGAAAGTATTCATTACCAGAGGTGCTATGAAAGGGAAAAAGGGCCATGATTAACTAATTTTCTTTCATGCAGAAGGGTTCAACAACACATATAATATACAAAGTCTTATCCAAATTTTAACAAGTGTTAAGACCGAAAGAGCCAATTACAGTTCCAATCATGTCTCATCACATTTACTACTGCACGATTCTGCAAGGTGAGAAACTGAATGGGCACTACAAGCACCAAGATTTCCAGTGATTGATGGAATAAACTTTAATTATATCAAATTACTGAAGGGAAGATTAAAATGTTATTACATAAGCAGACCCGATGTGGACAGAAATAGCTCCACATATTCCAAAAAAGATTCAAAATAAGTTGGCTTTCATAACCTAGTTCCCACAGTCATGAGTACCTTCGTGCAAGACTAGAAAGACAAGGGGTATATAACTTAAAAGAGATATTGTTGCCTTAAGGCACACAAATTTACCTAACGCTGATACCTCGAACCAGGGAATAGCAAATATGACGACAAGTGCAAGTACACATTTAGGACCCCCTCCCCCACCGACTTCTCCTCAAATACCAAGGGCTAATTGCGTGTATTACCATTTTCTGTGCCTTATCCACATAAGACAGACCACTAAAAAACCTCGCTAACTGGGGGGTGGGAAAGACATCTGTCCGTATATTCTGAGTTATCTTTTGCTGCAGCTAGAATTATGGATTTTAGCTCAACAACAAAGTCACAAGACCTCCATGATGCAGAGCAAGGGACATTCAATTTTCCTCAACACTCATCAATCCACTCCTTAAAGATCCTGATTAAAAGCCAGATGCTTCCAAACGAAGTTTTACATAATTTACTAAGTAGATAAAAGCATCATTAACTTCAAATTCTTATTTCACAAACTCTTTGGGCTTAAAAGGCCCAAGAGATTATTTAATTCCCCCCTTTGAACTTCACATAGTGCCATGCCTAAACCACCAAACACTGAAAATTATCTATAGCACAAGTTCAGCAGGAGCAGGGACTGGATGACTATGGAAAAAAAACACAAAAAAATCACTTAGGAAGACAGGAACATCTAAAATATAATTCCCGAGTCTCACTCCAACAAAACAGAATCTCTGACGGGAGCTTGGAAATATATTATTGTTAGCAAATTCCCTCAGTGAGTCTCAGAGTTCAAGTTTGGGAACCACCAATGCGTATACTATGTCGATTCACCACATCCTACAAATTCTGGCATCCAGTTAAAGGTGCCCAAACTGCTGTTTACTTTACTTTCTGAAAAGAATTCCAACACACTCATTAATGGGAAATGACAGCACCGTACAGACAAGCCAAACTGAGAAAGAAAATTTAAATCAAATACTACCTTTATCTTCAAGTGAAGCTTAAGTCTCAGAAACCTATTACACCGTCACCTCTATCCCATGTAAATGACCGAAAAACTGACCAAGATGTTTCTTGTAGGGGGTCCAGGAGGAAAGAATGGGGTGGGTGGGTGGGTGGACGGTGAGGTTTCTTATTCCCAGAGGCTGACATGAACAAAAGGAGATAAAGTTACTTACATAATTCTTCACTTCCCGTCGAGCATTAGCATCAATTGCAAGCCACCTCTGCTGATACTGTGCCTTGATATCTGGATCTTTGGATGTCAAAGAGTTCTTGATTTGTAGACCAGCTGCAACTCTGGCAACCTGACTGTTTCCCGGATTTGCCAGCACTCTGGACAGTTCCACAAGGAAAGTGGGCTATTAAGAGAAGATGCATATGTGAATTAAAGTATCACCTGGGAATTTTACCAACTGAAGACAGCTTACAGAGCACCAAGACACTGGGGGAGACTGAAATTCTTCAGGATATATCATAACATCTCATAAAATGCTACAATACCTACTTCAAGACTCCTATAAAATGTGTTACATGGTACACGTCAGTCACCCATCAACTCACGCAGCCTCAGCATTTATCGAGGTACAGATTTTCCTATCAACATCATTCTTAGTGCTCAAATCTTCACATTAGATCACCCTAAAATAAAGCTCGACAATCTAGTAGTCAGAGGAGTCTTCTATTTAACAATGCCTGACACTCAACAGATACTTGTTAAATGAATGAATATGTGAAGACAGGATAGAATGTAAAATTGTTTCCCTAAATTTAAGATATCTTAGTCCAAAAAGATTAATATTCAGGGCGACTTTTGATCTCATGCAGGCAGGTAATCTTGGATAACAGAGGTAAATACTTACAAACCTGAAACATGGATTTAGGAAGCTAGTCTTCTCTTTTAGCTTTAAGTGTTCAACGAGAGAGGACAATGAAAAAAGAGTTACTTATAATTTTGATAATATTTAGGAACAGGGAAAAAGTGAAGAGATAAATGCCAAGACAAATTTGCCAAGAAAAAAGATTTTACATTTAACAGTCAACAGTTAACACACTAAAGGCTCCTACACATTTTGAACTTGGGACTGTCCACTGAGCATAGTGCGTTTCTGAAAAGCTTTCTCAACCTTTCATAATGCCCAGGTCCCCAAAACTACTCCCTCTGTTTAAAAATTTTAAGACACATTTCTCTTTCCTGCAGAAAGCTCTGTCCAAACGGAAGTTAACAGGAAAAACCCAAAGCAGATAGTTTCTTACCACTAACAAGTCCTGCAATCCCATTAAGATAAATCTTAAAAGTTTTATTAATTATGTACCACTAAGGAATGTTAGCAATGCCACAAAGAAGTTAAATGTTAGGAACAGGATAAAAGGCTTCTTGTAAATGAGCAGAAGCAGAAACAGAAATAAACCCCAAATGGAAGTATTATTGGTCTATGTTACCAGAAAAAATCCTTTCTATGGAAACTTAAGAATAAAAAGTAGTAAAAGCTAGCACCTAAGAGCGCAATAAAAAGGGAAGTCATTTAAGACAGCTTGTATAAAATAAGCAGTGTCACTTTTGTGCTTGTATTTCGTCTAGATTACAAAGGGACATGTTGGGTTACAATGTTATTTAGGCTTATTACCTATTACCTTTAAAAGATGTCAAGCATCCTCCACCCTTCCATCTGCTCCCCATCCCCCGCAATAAGAGGGACATCAAAGGGAAACGTTATTGGCACACGGGCTGTTTCAACCAATCCAGCCCACATTTTTATACAGAGGTCCAGTCTAGTGGACTTCTCTTCATTTTTTCTGTACCCCTTAAATATGCAAACGAGGAACTTTCCTCTGTGAATTCATCTGGGAACAGGCCCGATCAAGGATGAGCCTCAGCCGGTTATATGGGTACAAATTCAGTCTCTACCCATCGAAGTAAAAACAAAAAACCCCCAACCAACCCCCACCAAAAAATAAATAACCCAAAGAGGAATACCCAGGAAGGAACGGGAGGAATATTGCCGGAGTGGGGTAGGAGGTATTCGGGTGCCAGGCCTGGCCATGAGCACAGTACCAAGGGGCAAAGGAAAGGGTAGACTCTGGGAAGTAGGTGGAGAGAATCACAGGGGCCACGGGACAGGAAGGAGAAGCCGGCCCGGGTCAGAACAGGGCGGGCAGCTGGGCTCCGAGCTTCCACATGGCCCCTAGGCCCGGCTCCCCCACCCCCACCCTTGCTGAACACGCAGCGCCGCGCAACCTAACTTCCCTTCCCTCCCTCTTTCTCCCTCCCGCTGCACCGCCGCCCTCAGGCCGCGCGGCGATTGGGCGGCAGTCACCCCGGCGCGCCGCGCCATTGGCCAGCTGCCGGGGCCCGGGGCGGGACACACCCACCGGCTTCCCGATGGCGGGGTTAGGTTGGACCGGGGTGGGGGGGAGGGGGACGGGATGGGGCGGGGTGGGTTCCCGAGGCCTGGGCCTCCAGGAGGGCGGGAAGGCCCGCACGCAGGGGATGGGTGGAAGGCGGGATGGGGCACGGCAGGGTGGCACGCACCAGGTTTTCCACGGCCGCACGCTCCAAGAACTTCTGCGCCGCTTCCAGTTCCAGCCGATCTAGGGGGAAGGAAAGTGGGAAGGGGACAGGGTCAGAGGGGCCAGGGCTTCCCCTCCCCCCACCCGGTCACCTCAGCCCGACCCCCAGCCCCCGCGTCCTACCGGGAGACACGGTCTTCTCGAGGATGGTGATCAGCTCCATGGCGGAGGTGGTGGCGGGGACTCCTCCTAAGACGACGGTCCGGCCTCTCGGGCGGCGGCTCTAACTGGGGATGGGGGTTGGGGGTCGGGTGGGAAGGGAGGGTGGGGTGGGGGGCGGGGGTCACCACAAGCCCATTCACCGGCTCCCTCTTGGTAGTCGCCCCGGCTCCCTTTCCTTCCTCTTTTCCTTCCTTCCTCCCTCCTAATTTGTTGCTGGCGGCGGCGGCAGCTGCTCCTCTGGCGGCGGGGGAGGTACCCCGGGGGTAGCTCAGAGCGCGGCTGGTGCTCGGGTGGCGGAGGGAGAAAGAAGGAAAGGAGGCGGTAAGTGAACGGCGGCTCGCAGGGAGGGAGAGAGAGGGAGGGAGGAAGGCGGAGGGATATTCGGGCCGGACCTCTCCGCGGCGGCACCGCGCTCCATGTCGATTGGCTGCCGCCGTGGCCACGCGGAATCCTCAATTGGCCAGGCGGTCAGCATTGAAGGGCCGCCCTGCGCCCATTCGCCCGCTGGTTTCGAGGCCCGGGTTGGCTGGGCGGGCAGCAGAAAGAGGCGCGCGGATTGGTCGGGGGGAGGGAGATTGGGGTGGGGCAGGCGAGAGCCGGCCGCTGATTGGATTGGCCTGGTAAAGGCCTTGAGCGCAGACCGGCTGAGCGCTGGGAGGAGGGTGGACCAAAGGCGAGACTCAGGGCCCGCGTGATTGGCTGGGACACCAGACGTTGATAGGATAGGGCGCCCGGGAGAACTGGGGAGAGGAGTTCGGGGTCGCGGCCGCGGAAAGGCGGGAGGCGCCCTGCCGCTTCAGGAACCTAGCGCGGGGCACGATGGGACGCCCCCGGGAAGGGGCGGAGCCGTGTTCGGGCTGCGGTTGGGAAAGCGCCGTCACTTCAAGGGGCGTGTTGAGGAGGGTTTCGCGGGCCCTAGCGGGGGAGGGGGGACCGTTAAAGCCTTGCACCGCGCCCACAGGAAGCTGCTCTCATGGCCAGGCCTACTTCGTACCAGGCTCTCAGCTGGGAAGGACCTTGAAGACCATGCGGTGCAACTTCCAGTTTGCAGGTGTGGAAACTGAAGCCCAGAGAGGGTATGCGACTTGTCCAAGATTACACAGTCGGTTAGTGGCCTGCTCAGGACTGGCCTTAAGCTCCCCTGACTGCCCTTGGTCTTACACGCAGCTTCCCTCCCCCTCGAGGAGGTGAATGCTAATGCAGTTTTGAGGCCTAACTAAGGTGGGATGGGCATCCTGGATGCCCCCATCCTTAGCTACCAGCTGTTTGAAGGAATAGAAATGTTTTCAGCCTGCGAAGGTGCCTCTATAAAGGCACACTCTTGAATCGGAGAGAATGTGTTTGCAGGCATAAAGGATTGTTAGCTCTTAGCCTTTTTTAGTTCAAATCCTGCAAGAAATTAATGAAAGCCTTTCTGTAGCAAAATGCAGATAAAGAAAGTGTGCATACATTGACCTTTGAGATTGATACATGGGTTTCTGACGAAGAATTTCCTGAATTACTATGTTTTCACCATATTGAGTTAGAGTTAATGGGATGTAACTAGTTGAGAGAGCTCTTTACCGTATCTCTTGAGTTTGCAAAGTAATTACTCTAGCCCTACTGGGAAGACCTAGAAAGACTCTGTCCTTGCTCAGAGGTTCCACCCAAGAATTAGGAAAGGTTGGCTAGCTACCCTCAATCCTTTCTTTGTTAGGAAGTCTTTGCAGTTCTGCATCTTAAAGTGTGGGGACCATTCTCACCCATCCTGTGACTGCTTGGTGTCCTATGGCTTAGCAGCCCGCCTGACCCCAACCTTTTGCCTCACCTATGAGCTCAGGGAGAGCAGCCTTATGTGTGTAAGTTATCTGGAATCGGTGAAGATTAAGTAAGACGACATCCATGGAAATCTTTTGAGTTGCCCTTATGTGGACTCCCCATGCTACAAATGATCCACAATGCTGCCTCACTCCAACCCAGCTTCCTCCCGCCCCCCAGCGGTTTGCTCCACATGATAGTACCAGGGAGGGCAAATGGATTTTTTAAGGACCTGGAATAAAATGCTGGGAAGAGAATATGTTGTGCAGCAACGTTCCAGTCAAACATAAGATCCTTGCCAAAACCCAAGTGAAATGATTTTTTTTTAATTTCAGTTGAGCTAAGGTTAATGATGGTGCTATCTAGTCCCTTTCAGAAGCACTCAACACTAGCCTGCATTCAGTGATGACACACAGACTCCGAAACAGACTGCCTGCTTTCATATCCCAGTCGTGCCACTTCTTAGCTTGTATGACTTCCTTTGCTTACATGGAAAATGGGGCTAGAAATTGTACCTACTTCATCTAAGGCTTTTGGGAAATCTTAAAATGAGTTAATACATGGGAAGTGCTAGGAACACTGCCTGACATGTTATATATGCCATATATATATTGGCTGTTATCTATTAAGCATGTATTTTGTACTAAGTGAGTGGTTCTTGGTCTTTGGCCTATTAGGAAAGAAAGATTTTAATTGATTAATCTCACAAGTAAATGTAAAAGTGACAGATGCCAAAGCCTGACCCAGTCGGGGGCTCAGGGAAAATTTACCTGAGAAAAGGAAGAGTTATTCAGGTGGAGAAGGGAGGAACAGCATGTGTAAAGGTCCTGTGATGGGAGGGAGCATGGGGATTATAAGGAACAGCAAGAGGGCTAGTAGCCCCAAAGCCCAGAGAAGAAGGGATTGAGGTAAAGTTGGAATGTTGAGTAGGAGAAAGAGCATATGAGACTTTGTGTACCATGCATGTGATTTTGTCTATATTCTAAGAGCAAAGGCAGCGACTCAAAGGTCTTAAGATTGGTGGTGATAATGTGGAGATTAGACTGGAAACAGGGCAAAGGAGATGCAGGGAAACCAGTTAGGAGGCCGTTGCAATATTCTACGTAAGAGAGGATACATGGAGAGAGGAGAGAGGTAGAAGTAATAGTGGAAATAAGAATAGGTATCAAAATTAATTGAACCTGGTAATTAATGGGAACAAAAAGGAGGTGGCACTCATGCCTACTAGATTTCTGGCCTGCACTATGCAATGGAGGGTGATGTGATGCCCTTGCAGTGTTTCCCAGGTAGGAGGAATTGGAGGCCACATGGTTTGGTAGAATGCACAGGCACATGGGCTTCAAGTTGTATTTCTTGAGCTGTGGATGATGTCCATGTGTTTGAAGATGTTATTCTCTCTAACTTTTTGAATGTCAAGAATACTCAAGTCCAGTGGATAAATTCTGAAATTAAAGAGAAAAACTGGGTTTCGTTCTTACTCTGCCCCTTCCTGCTGTATGATCTGGAACAAGTTACTTAACCTTTTGGATCTGTAAAATGGGAGAATCTCTGTCCCAGCACTGGGTGATCTGAGCACAAATGGGAGCCTGTCTGTGGGGCGCTCACTGCAAGCGTCCCGCGCTGGGAGACGCTCACCGGCGTCTTTGAAGCAAGTGTGTTTATGAAGGGACGGCACCTGCTGGCGTCTCCCCACCCAGTCACCCATCCCACAGGGCACATGAGTGAGAAGATCCACTGCCAAGGGAGAAGCAGTCAGCGTGTGACCTGATGCCCTTTCCTCCTGAGCAAAGCCAACGGACCCAAGATGGGTAAGACCTTGGCTTCCTTGGGGCTGAGGAGGAAGGGAGGTGAATTATCATGTCTGGAGATCCGAGTGCCCCCCTGCTTAGTAATGGGACAAACTTCGTTGCCTTTTTCCTGACTCTCCACACCACACTCCTTCCAAGTAATTCAGAAAAGGGATCATTTGAGGGGCTCCTGCATGGCTCAGTTAAGTGTCCAACTTGATTTCAGCTCAGGTCGTGATCTCGGGGTGCTGAGATTGGGCCCCATGTTGGGCTCTGCGCTCAGCAGGGAGTTGGCTTGAGGATTCTCCCTCTCCCTTTGCACCACCCCTCCCTCCCGCTTGTGCACATGTGCACACACTCTCACTAAAATAAAAACAAAATCTTGGGGGGAAAAAGGAAGAGATCATTTGCAGAAAAGCAGCTGAGACTTCCTACTCTTTCCTCCTCAGTCCTTGGGGCAGAAATGCTGTCATCATAAAATAATCCTCCTTGCCCCCCTGCAGTCCTTCCCTGTGCTCACTGGGCTCTAGCCACCTCGATTTGAGTCTCAGGACCTTGGTATTGGCTGTCCCTTCCGCCCGGGTCACTCTTCGCCATTTGTTCCTTCCCATTCCTCTCTTAGTTCTGATGTCACTTCTTCAGAGAACCATTCTCTGATCAGCCCACCTAAGGCAGGTTCCACAGGTGCTGGTTGTGCCCTATTTGCTGATGATCAGAACTCCTCAGTACCGGCAGTGATCTGTCGGTGCTGTCTGTCCCCACCCCCACTAGAATGGTGGTCCACAGGAGCAAGACCTTGTTCATCTTATTTGTTCCTTAAAATTGTGCCTCACACCATAGCAGGTGCTCGGATATTTGTAAAATGAATGAAGCAGTAACTAAGCACGTAACGTGTCCTTGTGGCCTATGAGGAGTGACTGTCTAGTTGTGTTAAAGGTGCTTTGTAATTTACCTCACTCTCTCTTCCAGTGTTGTCCATATTGGTACCCACGGGTACCTTTGGTCCAGTCAAGCCGGCCCTGTGGCTCTATCTCCCAGAAGTAGTTCATCACTGTGCTAGGCCTGTCCCCCAACTGGAATCCCCTCTTTGTCCCTCTCTGTCTTCAATATGGTTCTCTTGTTAATTTGTTCACTTGACTACCTTCGTTTTGGGACTCTCCTCTTCCCGGGCATCTCAGGTATAACACGGGACTATGATAATGGCCGTCAGAAGGGTTTGAACCAAATGCTGTCATGGAGCTAAATTCTCAGAGGAGGAAGAGACAGGTGGTTCCTGGGTTAGCTATGAGAACACTTAGTAGGCAAGGGAGGCTTTGAGCTGAACCTTGGAGGAGTGGAAAAGATTAAAAATTGCCAGGAAGCCTTCTCCAGCCAAGGTTGACTCTGTTTACTAATTATGTTATCTTGGGAAGGTTTATTTGAGGCCTCTGTGTCTCAGTCTCCTCATATGCAAGGTGGTGATAAGAGTCTTAACCTGGGTTGGCTTATGGGTACGAGACCTGTACAGTCACCCCTGTGCTTAGGAGGGCTGGCTCCTTCCTTGGTTTAATGCTCTGTTGTCACCGTATGAAGTTCTTAATAATTTTTGAACAAGGGGCCCTGGAAATTGTGTTCTGACTGTGCTTCAAATGGTTACTGAGAAGTCCTAGGAAGTTAATACATGAACATCTTTTAGAACAGTGAGGGCCTGGCATTTAATGGGAGTTTGGTAGGTGCCAGCTGTCATTACTGGTATTGGTGTTCTTCGAACTCTTGTCATGGCACAGCTCACAGTGCCCCTCAGGCTAGCCTTTGAACAACCCACAACATTTTAAAAAAAAATTTTTTTTTTTAAGATTTTATTTATTTATTTGACAGACAGAGTTTACAAGTAGGCAGAGAGGCAGGCAGAGAGAGAGGAGGAAGCAGGCTCCCTGCTGAGCAGAGCCCGATGTGGGGCTCGATCCCAGGACTCTGAGATCATGACCTGAGCTGAAGGCAGAGGCTTTAACCCACTGAGCCACCCAGACGCCCCATCAAATAAATAAAAATGTTTTTAAATAATGTTGTGGGTGAACAACCCACAACATTTTTTTTTAAAGATTTTATTTATTCATTTATTTGACAGAGAGAGAGCACAAGCAAGCAGAGAGAGAGAGGAGGAAGCAGGCTCTCTGCTGAGCAGAGAACCCGATGGGGGGCTCGATCCCAGGACCCTGAGATCATGACCCGAGCCGAAGGCAGAAGCTTTAACCCACTGAGCCACCCAGGCGCCCCCCCACAACATTTTTTAAAAACATTTTTATTTATTTGATGGGGTGCCTGGGTGGCTCAGTCAGTTAAGCGTCTGCCTTCAGCTCAGGTCATGACCTCAGGGTCCTGGGGTGGAGCCCCATATCTGGCTTCCTGCTCAGCGGGGAGTCTGCTTCTCCCTCTGCTCTTCCCCCATGCCTCATGCTCTCTTGCTCACTCAAATAAATAAAATCTTAAAAAAAAAAAAAAAAGATATTTTT